ATTTTCTCCATACTCTTTCTGCAGCTCTGATCTTAGAACGATGCTCACGGAGAACATCAGATAGCCAAGGGGCAGAAGAGGTGGTACGAGCTGGCCTGGAAGACAAGGTGTCAGTGTCTAAACAAGATGTAAGAGTGGAGCAGAAAGTATCAGTAGCACTGTTAACATTAAGAGATGATAACTGGTCAGGGGAAGGAAGCAAAGATGAAATCATAGCAGATAGCCGGGAGGGTGAGAATGAGCGTAGGTTACGTCGAAAAGTGACATGTGTAGGGGTATGTGTAGTGCTGTGGATAAAATATAGTGTGGATAAAATATAGTGCTGTCAAACGATTAATTGCGATTAATCGCATACAAAATAAAAGTTTTTGAGAATGAGAATGAACTTTATTGCCAGGTATGTTTCACATACGAGGAATTTGTTTTCATGACAGAAGCTTCCGCAGTGCAACAGAATGACAGCGACAGAACAAAAACACAGATAATAAAAGAAGAATAAAAATAAATAAATAGAACAAGTAAATAAGGAATAACAATATATAAATTGACAATTGTATGTGCAGGTATATTACAATAGACAGTTTTGTATGTACAGGTATATTATGTGCAAATTTGAGGTGTAGACTAAGTATGTGTGTTAGATAAATAAGTGTATGAGTGTATAAATAGTGTTGTGTGTTCCACAGTTATTGTCAAGTGTTCATGAGATTTTGGTTACAGAATTTATGTATGTGTACTGTGTTTATTTATTATGTATATATAAATACACACACATGCATGTATAGGTATATTTCAGAAAAATATGTTATGTTTATATTATTAAATCTATTTATATATATTATAAATTATATGAATATAAATATAGACATGTAAATACATGTAAATGTTTTCAAAATATATACTGTATGTGTGTGTATTCATATATACATAATAAATATACACAGAACACACACATATATTATGCAAACAAAAACTTTTATTTTGTATCGCGATTAATCGTTTGACAGCCCTAATATAAAGATGGTTATTTGGATTTGGAACAATATGAGGGTGAGTAAATAATGACGATTTAAATTTTGTGTGAACCATTTCTGTAGGATTCGAAGCGTTTCAAATATACAGTACCTACAGTAATACGCATAAAAACATTAATACGTATAAAAACATCTTGACAGCATCTGCAAAACATTTGGAATTTTTACATATTTGGTCTTCAAATGCTATTAGACATGATGAAAACAGTTTTGGTTCCATATTTGGCATCTGTCTGTCATCATAAACTGATGCTGAATAGTCTAATAACTACGTACCCCATTTGAAACTGTGGAATGTGTGTGTGATAGACATATAGGCGTGCTTTATGAATCACAACATGAAGAGTATGCATACTTGTCATACTTGTTCCTTTAACAGGAAAGAAATAGATACCTCCTTTTTACTGATAATGACACTTATGACACACACTTCCCTTAAGGCAAGAATTCACACTAACACACAAAACATCCAATAATAGTAAGTAGTGTTACCAATTTTGACCAGACACACTTTCACCTACTGAAAACTGAGTAGGTTGATCTTGTGGGTGTTTCTTCCACTATGGGTAATTTCGTCTTTTTAAACTTTTAGTAAACAAACTTTATTAAAATAACATTTTCGAATGTTTCTTTAACATTAATATTTAACAAGTAACACTTTGACACATGCATGCATCACAGGAGATTTCTTTTATTGTTTTATTTTATTTTCTTAAACCATCGTGCCATTTCCACCACATCTGAAATCAGCAATCATTTTGTTGCAGATTAAACATTTTTAATTATTTTTTTTTTTTTCGCATTATAGCATTTTATGTACAATAGATACAATTAAATAGTATTTTCAGTCTTTTTGCATAATTTGCCAAAATTACAGCTTGGTGCCCAATAAAAATATTCAGTTTTTTAAATCATATTTGCCTTGGTTTTTTTCTTATTATCTTTGCACATCACATGATTCATATTTAATTATCAAACTCTTCACTAACACTGTTGTCTACATCATAACTAAGTACAGTAACTTGGAAAAAAAATGAGGGGCAAAATTGTTGGTGGTTGTGATAATGACACCAGAGTTAATTTATTTAAGATTTTAGATTATCGTAGTTTTAAGTTAACACACAATTATTCATATTTTTATTAATAGATTTCATATTTTAACCATTTCATAGTGATAGATTTTCATATTTTAAAATTAAAAGTGGGACAAGGGTAAAACTATAGAAATATATAGATAAAAATATAGATAAGACTATAAGATGAAATATAAAAATATTAAAATCTATATCTTTTGAAATTTGAAAAAAATGGCAAAAAGAAATACTGAATGCATGGTAAAATTTTTCCAAGACCATTTTAATGTGACCTTCATAACAAAAAGTGATGATAAAAATAAAAAAAATGCCCATAACAAAAGAAACTACCCCGTGGTGTCTGTTGTCTATGTTTTTCACACTTTTATGGTAAACTATCCTCATATATTTGAAGCAAAAGTATTTCTTACCAGTCTCCACAGCCTCTTTCATGTAGACCGCACAGTATGGATTGAGTACTTCTTCATGGTAGGCAAGCCCAGGGTCCATCTCAAAACTCGAAAAACCAATCCTCAGGAATGGAGACATGACTGTAAACTCCCAGATCCAACAGCAATAGCCTCAGATATACAGTTTCCCGTGAAAGTATGGTGTTTAATTCCACTGTAAGGATCTTCTGTATAGTGATGTACTCCTATTTGGTATTTATTTTCATATTTGTGATGTCCGATGTATGGGTTTTGAATCTCAAGTGGCTCAGTAGAGGGGCAAGTACTGTACAAATATAAGTCTGGAATGGTGGTTTCCTTAGCTCCCTGGTATCCAAAGTAATATTTTTTTCAATCAAAGTGTTTAAATTGGTCCTTTGTCCATCAGATCCGGCTCTCTTATAGCCACTGTTTTAGAAGGAATGATGTTGGGATGAAACAGTTGAAAGTCTACACAAACAGAATAAAATATAATAATTTCAAGCATATTAATTAAAGTACAACAATAAAGAAATAAAAATAGCAAATTAATTCAAAATGACAACAATATATTTATATTAAATGAAACTTAGTAAATGGATAAAAAGTTGTAGTATATTATATACAGTATATTAGCAGTTTTAGCAGAAAAAAAGAAAATAATGAATTGCGAGCACTTTATTTTAATTTAGTTTTAGTTTAATTTATAACATAAAATAACACATCATTAGTACATTCAATATTTCAATGGTTTAAAATGTTATGACATTTTGATTTTCATTTTTTAATGTTCATATACAACTCATATTTGTCAATAAAGTCACATAAACTCTTAAAAAATAAAGGTTCCAAAAGGGTGTTTTTGCAGTGATGCCATGGAAAATCCATTTTTGGTTCCCAAAAGAGCCTTTCAGTGAACAGTTCCTAAAAGAACCATTTTGAAGAACATTTTAAAAATCGAAAGAACCTTTTTCAACTGTAAAGAACGTTTTCTGCATTTGAAAGTTTCCATGGATGTTCAAGGTTCTTCAAAGAACAATTGATGCCAATAAAGAACCTTTATTTTTAAGAGTGTATTAATGATACTGTTCAATTAAGTCTCCTTAAACCATTAACTAAAGCCCAGATGCAAAAAAGCATGAACAACCCGGTTGTGAGGATCATTCTCATATGCTCTCTGTCTAATGGAAACACAGCTAAAGACACGCTTTAACTTCTTTCCATACTACACATGCCCTTTAAATTAACATGACACAAATTTACACCAACCAATGTCATAAACTAAGCAGAAAACACACTTGTTAAACAGTTGGACCACAGAACCACAGGAAACACTTAGAGAGTACTTACCAGTTAAAAGCTGTAAGGTAACTGGTGAAGGGAGAGAACCAGAGAGAAAGAACTATTAATAGATGTGAAATATAAAACTCCCATCCCAACAGCCTGCCAGGATTCACTTCCCTGCTGAGTCACAGCCAAACATACAATACTAAAACACACGTCATGGTCACACATTTACACTTTGCTCAAACTGGATGTGTATGTTATAGTGCGCGATATTCATGTTACAAAAACAGAAACCAAACTAGATTTGTACTTTTTTTTTTTTTTTGAAAGAAAATGTGAGTGGCACTAACTCCCCGCCACATGCCACAACTAAGAAATACAGTTAAAAATCATTAACAAAATATTCTGGTTAAGCTCAAACAACAGCATCTGTGGCATAAAGTAAATTACCACATGAAATAAGTTAGATTCATGCTTAAAAAGAAAAATCAAAGTTACAATGCAAGTGAATAAGGCCAATTTTGGAAGCTTTTCAAAATTTTAACTTAACAGAAGTTACAGTTGTAGAGTTGTATAGCAGTAAGATGCTGTGTAGGTATAAAGTGATTAACGCTTTAGGTTTTTAGCATTACGTTGTCGTGAAATTGAACATAACTTTACACGAAATAGGTTAGTAAGCGATTTTACCACATTAAAATCATGTACACAAAATATTAACAGTACATCTTGTAGCTGTACTATTAAAAAAGTGAGCATTTTAATGTTTATGGATTGGCCCCATTTAATTCCATTGTAAGTGCCTCAGATTTTTACTTATTTCAAAAAAAAAATTTTACTTGGTAATCAACATTACTAGATGGTTGCTAGGGTGTGACTAAGAGTCTCAAATTTTCAGCTGCTTTATCATATCATAATGTAAGAATTGTAAGTGATTAACAGATTATTTAAATGATATAGGAAGAAAATAACAAACTAAAATCGAATGTGTTAACAGAATATATATATAGGCCTGTCGCAATAATCAATATATCGACTTATCGCGCAATATATGTACATGACCTCAATAATTTTTGGTGACGCAATATATCGCCCATTATATTTACTTTAAATATAATTAAATTGAATTCAAATTTTTTTTCAATATATTAAAATTAATGTCATCATGTTTTGTACATTCCACTTGCGCCTGTGTCTTTTGCAGCTTCTCGTACATAACGTGGTGTAGTCATGAGGTGCTAGTTCTAATTTAAAAAATGCTTCTTTATGCATTTTTCTTTTTTTGTACTCGTTACTTTGCACTTTTTGTTAGAAAATGTTTATTTACTATTTATTCAGGTTTTTTAAGGTATCTAATATTTTGAGACTTAATTTCCATGATCTAAATATTCTTAAAAATTAAAAGTTTGTTGTCATTTGGAAGTGTGTAGGCCGCCTTGCATTATTATGCTGTTACATTACGATTATATATTCAGTGGCATAAAATGGTCTTTAAAAGGACAATAATATCGCTTATCGCAATTATTTCTGGGGCAATATATCGCACAACAAAAAGTTGTTATCGTGACAGGCCTATATATATATAAAATTAAAAACCAGATTGTTAAGTGTGTTATTTCAGTACAACAATATGCATAACATACTTTTTTCTTAACTCAAGTTTCTCAAAACTCTGTCTTATAAACTCTCTTTCTTGCTCTAAATGTGTTACTGCCAAGTATTTCCTGTCGTTTGACTGACAGCTCAAACCGCACTTCCTGCATCATTGAAGGACTGTAGCGCAGATAGCGAGCTGGCCCTCTTACCTGCCTCTGCTACCAGGATAGAGAGAAAAGACAAACAACAGTAGACAGACAGAAAGAACACAGCTGGACACAGACAGACACTTTAATGTCATAACTTTATAGTAAGTCTTTATTGGCTCTATGAAGGTGATATTTCATCAAACAGTGTGTGGGGTCAATACTGACTCCAGAGTCGACACAGTTGAACTATCCCAGCATGTGAAAGCTGCAGGGGTGGAAGAAGTGTGGGATCAAAGCACAAACGCCTCCAATGAACTCACATACACTAGACTGGACCGAACTACAAATACATTTGACCTTTCGCAAGCCACTCGGGAGGTTAGACTCATGAGGCTCGTTAAAGGAATATTCCATGTTCAATACTTAAGACTCTGTGGCTCAGTTACCACAGAAAATCATTCTCAACTCTGTTCGTAAAAACAAAAATGTTTTTACATTAATCCACATACAGTGGAAGTCAGCAGGCAAGTAAACCTTGAAGTGTTTATAAGCAGAAGTGTAAAGGTTGTTTTTTAACGCACTTGTAATAATTCCTCTGTACAAAAATTTTTTATAAATAAATAAATGTTTTTTGGGATTTAGTCATCTAAATTGTCTTTTTGAGATGGCACTACTTTTCTTCTCTCCTTCTCTTCTCTTTAAAGGTTCCCAAATGGAAAAAAATAGTAGCTTCATTAGGCATTGGGATTTCAATCTGAAGAATTTCAATTAGCAGAATTTGGAAAACCCTTCACTGAAAAAAAAAAAAATCATGCACAAATTGATCAGTGTACTTGGAGTTACATAAGGCTAAGGACTCAGACAATAAAACCAACTCACAGCATCTCGGTTTCTCCTCTCATTAAACTCTAAACAACTGCAATCAAACAGAGTGGAAAAATGAACATTTCTCCTCATTACTCTGAGCATCAGTTTCAGTCTTGCATGTCTGTTTTTCTGTCTGTCTGTGATCAGCTCATTTATAAATATTTATTGCAATGTGTATTTATAAATTCAACTTTTCATGGAACAACAGCTTCATCAAGGTTGTGATTTGCAGGAAGGACCCTTTATTTAGCAGTATAACTGCATTTCGGTAAATGATGATGCATCTCCGCTCTGATGAAAAACATCATTACTCATTTGAGTGGCATTACTCATTTATTCTAATTAATAATTTTAAGATCAGTTGTGACTAAGCAAAAGCTCTCAGCTATCTATGCAGTTGTTGTATGTGTTTCTGCAAACTACTGTACATTTATTTCATTGGAAGTGATCATTGTTTTGCAGTTGATTGAGGCCCTTATTCAATGTGCTGTGCGAAATCATGCTACTTCAAACAGAATTTCATGGATTCACAAACCCAGAATCCTTCCCCCTTGCTTCAAACATCAGACACAGGAATAAAGCACCAAATCAGCCGATATAAAACATCTAATATTTTTCTCCTCTTGAGCATCTTAAGAATGCAGCCAGGACACGACGAAGAACATTTAGAATGAAACGTGAATAGTCAAATGGTTAATTTTCTCTAATCAGGGATGATTGCTCGGCAAACATACTACAGATGGAAGCAAGAGAAACAACATCAACCACATCTTCTCTTCTTCATAAACAGACTAGGAAGATGTTCCAGCATTCAAGGCTAAGAGGTTTCAAAAGCCTTTTGAGGCACAGGCATTGAGATGCTGCTCTCTGTTTCTTCCACTCTTTCAAAGAGTTTTCATTCTTTTATTAGACAAGGGAATTAATTTTCAAAATCCTCCCTAGATTTAACCCCTCCTCTTCAGAAATATTCCCTTAAAACAAAAGTGCACACACTTTACAAAGCCAATGGATCCCTTCGTGCCACAGCTTGACTGTTCATAGAGAGATATACAATAGTGGGTAAGAGAATGAGAAGAAGATTGACCACAGGATTCTTCACAGTACTGTAAAAGTAAAGAAAACGATGAAGTCAGATGGCTCGGCTTAAGTAAAACACTGTAACGAATTACTCTGCCTTCAAAGCTCAGAGGTGTGAAAGAGAACATATTAAGGTAAATGGATTGACTGCTTGGAAGATTAGAGGAATTGTAGTCAAAGCTGATTAGAGAGAAAGGTAGTCAAAGTGGAGGAACCTGCAGAGAAAAAGACATTTCATATTTAATTTAAAGGAAAGTGATGTTTGATTCATCTTCCTTTTGTTTGATGTTAAGAATGAATCTACTGTGGTGGTGTTGGACGTTTAAACAGTTTAAAGATAGTTCCATCATGTCCCTTTCTGGTATCCTTGGCCAAAAGCTGTTTTTGCACTGATACCAGACATACGCATTTATTTTGAATAAATCTTTTAATTTGCATTTATCAAGTTACAATCAAAAGTTACAATCATTTTTTTTTATTATTAAATTATTTAATTAAACATAGTTCACACATTATATATATATATATATATATATATATATATATATATATGAAGAGTTTGAGGTGTGTTTGGGGTCGTTATCATGTTGGAATACTGCCCTGCGGACCAGTCTCCGAAAGGGAGGGGATCATGCTCTGCTTCAGTATGTCACTGTACATGTTGGCATTCATGGTTCCCTCAATGAACTGTAGCTCCCCAGTGCCGGCAGCACTCATGCAGCCCCAGACCATGACACTCCCACCACCATGCTTGACTGTAGGCAAGACACACTTGTCTTTGTACTCCTTACCTGGTTGCCGCCACACACGCTTGACACCATCTGAACCAAATAAGTTTATCTTGGTCTCATCAGACCACAGGATAGTGTTCCAGTAATCCATGTCCTTAGTCTGCTTGTCTTCAGCAAACTGTTTGCGGGCTTTCTTGTGCATCATCTTTAGAAGAGGCTTCCTTCTGGGACGACAGCCATGCAGACCAATTTGATGCAATGTGCGTCGTATGGTCTGAGCACTGACAGGCTGACCCCCCACCCCAAGATTCATATGCTTTTAAGAAATTAATACTAAAATTAATTGTATTCACATTAAATTGATAAAAAGTAACAGTAAATACATTTATCATATTACAAATGGTGATGATAATTAGAAATGTTTCTTGATCACCAAATCAGCATATTAGAATGATTTCTGAAGGATCATGTGACACTGAAAAGTGGAGTAATGATGCTGAAAATTCAGCTTTGCCATCACAGGTATAAATTACAAATTAATTTAATTTTTAAAAAGAAAAAAGAAAACCATAACTGTAAATTCACTGTTTTGTGTTTACGATCACATAAGAGACTTCTATTAAAAAAACGATTTTGAATGTTAATGTAGATCTAAATTAAACATAAATTAAGATATTATTGTATATTACTGTTAAAAATATAACCAAGACTGATGACAACATCTAATGTTTGCTAAATATTGTGAGACAATATTTCAATTCAAAAACACAACTACAGTGTTGTGCATTTCTATCTGAGAGGTAAAGGCAAAAACATGCATTTTCTATAAATAAACAGAAGAGGAAGTGTTTTTACAATCAAGGTTTTAGCACTATATATTGTATGGTGTCTATTGCGAATGTGCTAAAAATCTGATCTACATCTAGATAGCATCTTACACAACCATGCCATTATTCCATTGCCTTTTAACACCTAAAAAAGCAAAGTAACTACTAAAACGGACGAAAAACTGAAAAACATGTAGCACAATCACAAGATGTTTTTTTCAAAGCAAAACACCCTTTTATTCAAAACAATTATGTTTACAGCTGCTTTTATTCAGTTATTTGCTGTTATTGATGCTGGTATTGCATAATTGAGCTATTCTTGCACATGTTGGTTCATTGTAGTATATTTTTAACCCAAGGTTTTCTGCCACGAGGCTGTTGAAATAACATGGCACACTCCACAATCCAATCTTTGCATCGGTGTTTGAGGTTTAGTACCATGTTATCCTTTGTAAAGGAGTCAACATATAACCACTGAGCAGTACAACCTTCAGCCACACACACACACACACACACACACACACACACACACACACACACACACACATATATATATATATATATATATATATTTATTTATTTTTTTTTAATATATAAATCTTTTATTAACATCAATAAAAATAGGAAGTATCATGACAAACTTTTGCAGTTTGATAATTAGCTTTGAGTAAAGCTATTTCAGCTTCAGTACAATATACAACTGAGTATATTATAAAATGGAATATAGGAAAATACATAAATGTACTGGTTCAAAATGTCTTACAAACGATTGCAGTAAGTTATTTTAACTTAAATCACATAACACTGACATGATTTGTGCTCTTGGTTAAAATGTGGTTGGAAATTGCACTCTGATGTGAGTAAGATGTTCCAGTGCCCGACATTTGCAGTTCCTCTAATTCACACATATCATACTACAGGAAGGTAGTATGTTCACAATTTTCTTGTTATTTGATAGTTTTGGGTTTTTTTGGATTACCCCATTCCAAAAAAAAAAAGTGTATTTTTAATATGGATCAATTGCATACAATTATGTCTGCAAACATCACACACTGAATTCAGACACCGAAAAAGACATTATAAAGCACTAACTAAATCATAATTCTTCAGAAAAGGTGATTCTTTGGCAATAATAGTGTGATTTACAAGCAGCTTTTATCAAATTATTGGCAGAAAGAGGTCAGAAGTGATGTTTTGATATGATGCATAATGTCAACATCAGTAAGTACCATTAGTAAACAATAAAAATGGATTAAAAGAAGCAAAAGTTCAAAAGATATATCCAACAATCCACCAAAAAAAAAAAAAATCAAGTTAAATCTCTTCCATATCTCAGTTGTTTCTCTTATATTTAAATGAAATGAAATAGAGTGCATGTGAGACCTTTCTACTGTTGAAAGGACCCCAGTAATGGCTGAGCTCAGATTTGCCAAAATACCAAAATCTGCTATTAAAATTCACAAATCTCAACATTTCTTATCAACTTGTGGCAACTCATGTTCTCTCATTTTAGGAGAAACATCTCGGTCAACATTGATACTTCATATACTTTAAACATACTGTAACCCCGAGCTTTGAAAGAGCACCATTTGAGATATTAATATCATTTGAAACCTATAAAAGGGCTGCATTCACCACTTTGGTAAGGCTAAAGCCACTACAGTTCAGCAGGTATTAACTAACTTAAAATAGACCAATTAAGGCCAAAAAAAGTGCTCAAATACTGAACAAACAAGCTCTAAATCCTTCTATAAACTAAACATCCAGGCTTATGCTTCCAACTGCAACAAAAGCTCGTGATCCACAGCTTTTGCCACACTTGTGTGGGCATTGTAAGACAAAACAGTGTGAAAACATGTTTTCTTATAACTGAAAAAAAGCTTGATGCATACATCCCACACGTTGTTTTCTTTAAAAGATCAGCTTGTGTTTTTTAAAAGAGCAGGTTCTCAAATGCAAAGTTTACTTCTACACGGTTTTCTTCTACGTTTTGTGGTTTCCTGCAACTGCCACACGAACAGCTATAGCAAAGCCAACTGGATAAGTTAGATGTAGCCTACATCTTATTAGTGAATTTTATCTAGACAGTCAACAACAGTTACATCAGCAACACGGACAGACAGGCTGTCTCTTTTCTATTCATATTCTTAGCTCTTCTATTTATACGTATTGATTTTTAGAGTTAAACCAAGCTTCAATTTAATTTGAAGGTTCATACATAACGTACAGAGTATGAAAACAGCACTTACCGAGTGCAGCTCAAATGAACGCAGCTCTTCAGTGCAGTAGCCTACTCTGAAAGTACGCCTGCTTATGGAACTTCTGTAGACCTGCACGCACGTGACGCGCGCGTTTCACACTTCTCATCACACACTAAAGGAAGCAGAAAGAAATGGTGTGCGGTTTGCAGAATTGCACTCTTGGCTGCAAAAATATAGGTCGTTGCCTTTTATTGTACAGCATTGCTCAAAGTTCGTATGTTTAATTTTATGACATTAAAGGGGTCATATGATGCTTTTTTAAAGATCATTATTTTGTGTATTTGGTGTATCAGAATATGTTGACATGCTTTAATGTTCAAAAAACACATTATTTTTCAAATACTGTACATTATTGTAGATGAGATATAAATAACTCCATGTGTTTATATTGTAACCAGGGCCGTTTCTGAGCATAAGGGTTCCTCAGCAAAGTCCTACACTCTAAAAAAAAAGGTTCTTCAGCGGTTCTTTGGAGTGGTTAAGGTGCTATATAGCACCACTACCGTATAAGAACCTGT